TTGTGTATGAGCACACACCCTGTAGGCAAGGCTCTTTGGTACATCCTTTAGTTTTGTTTTACAAAATAGCTCACTGCTTTTCACCCAGAAGCTTTCATGAATAGCATTGCTTGAAACCAGCATTGTGCAGAGAGTCTTCTTAGCTTATTTTATTGCTTAGCTTCTGATCTGGCTACTTAGTGACTATAACTTCCCAGTGCTTACATCTTTGAAAAAGTACTAGATTCGTACTAGAAGGAGTGTTTTGTGGAAGGTGTATTGTTCCTGGCAGCTATTTAGGGTTACTTGTCTTCTCACTGTTTCCCATCTTGGCCTTCATGTGGAACAGGGAAGCTCACTAAAGGTCTATGCCAATGTCTCTATGTAGCTAAGGCATGGGGCTCTTGTGACAGACATTAACTCAGATGAGATACTAGCCCTCTAAAGATGCTGAGCCACCATGGAAGAAAAGTACCTTGGCCCAGCAGATATCAGACCAGCTTTTTTCTTGTGGAAGCGACTTCCTTGCATTTTCGATCTTTCCTATACTTGTTATGGAGCAGGGGATCAGCCACATCCTTTGGGAGAAAGATGTAACTGAGATGGGCTGCTGATGACCATGACCGTAGCAGGGCCAGTGTTATAGGGGAATGCGGGGAGAATGTGGTCCATTACTCTCTTCCTCTCCCAAAATAAGTTGTTCATTGGCCCCTCTATAATTATTTTATTTTATTTATTTATTTATTTTTGAGACGGAGTTTCGCTCTTGTTGGCCCAGGCTGGAGTGCAATGGTATGATCTCGGCTCACCACAACTTCTGCCTCCCGGGTTCAAGAGATTCTCCTGCCTCAGCCTCCCGAGTCGCTGGGACTATAGGCATGCGCCACCACGCCCAGCTAATTTTGTATTTTTATTAGGGACAGGATTTCTCCATGTTGGTCAGGCTGGTCTCGAACTCTCGATCTCAGGTGATCCGCCTGCCTCAGCTTCCTAAAGTGCTTTTGTTACTGAAAAATCATAGTTTGACACAGTGAGCACCTGCAGCGCTAGCTTATTAGATATTCTGATTTGGCTAAGAGCTCTGTACACCTGGTAGCATTTCATACTGAACATTTCTAACTAGGAAAACAGTTACAGGCTAAGTCAGTAGGATTAGAAGTGGGTAAATCTACTAAATCAAAAGGTTAGGATATTCTAGAAAAGTTAGAATTATTTGTCTTTGGGAAAACTTGAGGAATTTTCTGCTTTTTCTTGCTCTGTATTCAACCTGCAGGTAGAGCTTTTTTATTTGTTTTGTGTTTAAGTTAAAAAGTTTGACAATACCAAGTCAGAATTATTTTAAAAGAATATTCATCTGCCATGGTTTAATGTCTTCGGTCGGTGGCTTTGACTTTACATACCTCCTAAAGATTGAGCCTTTTATTGAGCAGTTTCAGTTTTCAGCTTTTTTGTGTTTATCAGATACCTGTGCTATACTTCTATTTGTAAACTATTCTTCTCCCTGATAAGACAGTTGTGAGCAAAAAATGTTCATAAAGGGATTCATGTACATTTTACTTGATGTCAGCAGGTAGCTTTTCTTCTTTTATATAAAAATGCAGTTTTAGTGCATAAGCTAGTCCTTGAGAAAGGAAAGGAAGAAAAATATAAAAGTTTATGACTATTGTAGTTTTAGTTAACAAGTTAGTGTGGCTTACATCTCCAAACATAAAGGTACATTCTACATTGTTGGATAAAACAGTACTGGCAAATATATGATTTTGGAGCTTATGAGTTAGAAAGCCTGAATGCTATAATTTCTTTTAAGATAGCATAGAAAGAATCAATAAAAAAAAAAGTAGACAATCTGGTTTTAAAAATAGGTAAAAGATTCAAGTCATTTCACATACTAGGATGTCCAAGTGACCAGTAAGCACAGAAAAGGTATTCAAACACCATTTGCCATTGCAGAAATACAAATTAAAGCTACAATGAGATAATGCTCCACACCCACAAAAATGGCTTTAATAAAATAGATAATTATTTCCAACATTTGATATTAGGAACAACTGAAACCCTCATTTGCCACTAGAAAATGTGTAAAATGTACAACTACCTTGTGATAGTGATAAAGATGAGTAAAGCTCAGGCTGAACTACCATATTTCATTGATACTAAATGCCACCAAATGTAAGATGCACCAGTTTTTATCTGCTGCTCAGAAAGAGAAAACACTGCCAGTTAAACTAACATTCCATAAATGGAAAGACATACCCTGATTTTAGAGATGTTGAAGTGTGGGGGAAAAATGTCTTAGAATCAATGAAATGGTAGATAAATGATAGAGATAAATCAGTGATATGCTAGATATAAAATGAGCAAAAAAAATCTTGAGGGATAGAAAGCAATAGCATTGTAAGATCAGAAATGAGGATGTTGCTATTTTAAAACATTTTGGAAGTCAGGGTTTATAAAGACTTGTGTTGTTGATGTGTATTTATTTTGCACACTTTATACCTCATGTTTTCTATTTCGTAACCAACAAAGTATGTAAATGTTAACACTGTAGTTATAATTAGGGAATGCCACACGCTTACGCTCCATGCAGTTGGCCATTTTACCAACGTTTAATTTTCTTTTCAGCCATTTCCAAAGCAGCCAGGAACATCAGGCGCTTATCCTCTTACTTCACCCCCTACATCTTATCACAGCACAGTCAATCAGTCTCCCTCTATGATGCACACACAGTCTCCAGGTAAGATACTACTTACTCTCTTGTCATGTTCAACTTTCAAATCCAAAACACACACACACACCCCACGTTAAGAAGCACTGTGCATCTAGCCTCAGGCTTTAGAGAGAATTCCCTTTCTGGTCTGTGGCTAGATAGTTGTCACTCATTTATTATGGAAGGTTTGTGAAGTCTGTGTCCAGGCTCAGGAGCACGTTAAAAGGCTTACATTAAGTAGAGGTGTCACCCAGAGCCAGACTCACAGCACAACTCCAGGGGGGTACTAATCACAACATGGTCTATATTACAGGTTGACAGACTCTGCTATGAGCCAAATCCTGCCTGCCACTTGTTTTTGTAAATAAAGTTTTACTGGAATGAAGCCACACTTGTCTATGTAGTGTCTATCGCTGCTTTCCCACCACAACAACCCTTTACAGAAAAAGTTTGCTAAGCCATGGAATAGGTGAAGGGTGGCCTGCCCCCAAGCTCCAGAGTTAGGCAGTGCATAGCCTGCTTGTCCAGACATAATGGCTTTGTTGGCAGCCCCATGAAGTGCACTGTAAAAGTGCTTGATAATGCCAAATGTTTGCTTTTAATTGAATGCTTCAGTGGCATCTCTTGAGCACTTGGCCTGTGCCAACTGCTGCCTAGTGCTGGTGATTCAGCAGTGAACCAGATACCAGCCCTGCTCTTGAGTTTATCATCTAGCAAGGAAGACTGGTCATCAGATTTCTTGGGGAGAATGACCCTTGCCTACTAGGTCCTAGTAATATTTCCAGAGCATAATGATGGGGTTTTTAAAGAAAATTTTAGCATAAAAGATGTGATATGTAATATAGGATTAAAAATGTAAGAAATTAAATGATTTTTAAAAGCATGCATAATAAAACCTTTTGTCTACTATAAGTATATCAGTCCAATCAACTAAAGAATGCAGTAAGTAGTTTTGTACTAACTGAGGGCATTCAGGCTTATCAGAAAACAGGACAAAACCAAATTAAATCCTGATTTTTAAGTAATAAACCCAACAAATACATCTGCTTTTAAGTTCTCACTGTGAAAAGCAGAATTTGCAGTGCACACTTTTCTCCTTTACAAAATGCAAAAGAGGTTCTTTTATATATGTATATGTGTGTCTGTATATGAGAAATTTGTATTGACCAGTAGAATCTGTTAACCTGCAGGTGGGAGATATAGTGACATCACTTATTCAGTAGCTAATTCCATTTGTAAAATGAGAATAATGTAAAACCTTTTCCATAGAGATGTTACGAGAATTGAATGAAATAGTTCATATAAAGTGTTTAGCCTGGGGCATGGCACATGACAAATGCCTCTTTGACCAGCCCATTGTAATCTGTCTTGTTGCCCAAATTCGGCCGCTCGACATCCCACACTGCTGAGGCACTCACACCCTGGCAGATCCCACCCCTACCACGTCTCATACTTAGCCACTCATATTACTCTTCACATTACTCTTCACATTACTTCAGTGGTGTCGTTTTTAAAAAAATAGATCCTCATTTTTAAAGTCTTTAAATTCACTTTTATTTAGGGGGTGGGGTGTGCTTCCTCTGCTTAGATTCCTAGATAAACACTCTTCATCTATAATGCCAAGTATGATAAGTGTTACAAAAAGGGTCACTTGGGCTTTTGAAAGAGCATTCGGTAAGGGGGTTTCGATTGTTCCTTTCCTGGGGATGCCTTGTTTGCCTCCCTCCTTTCGACACTGCTTAAGCCGAGACTTGAAGGGTGGGTCAGAGTTTCCCACCCTGGGACATGGACGAGGAGGATCTCTCAGGCAGACTGTGCAGGGTGTGTGGAGTCTGAACTCCCAAAAGATGGTAGACTGTTCCAGATGGCTGGTGTGTGGAGAGACAGAGCTCTGTTCAAGATTTTGGCCTCTATTATATGGGTAAATAGGAAGCCATTGTTGGATTTTAGCCTGGGTTAAATTTGTACAACCGAAAGTGACAAGAGTGGTGGATGGGCAGATTTCACAGAGAAAGGAGCAGGTAGTTCTCTTGAACCTGTTGATTGTACAAGTCCTCAGAGATTCCTAAGTCAAGATGTCCAGTAGGCAGTTGGCTGTATGAGCCTATGGCCCATCAGAGATGGTTGGACTACAGATGAAGACTTGGAAGTTGTTGTTGTTGTGTCTAGGGTCATTGAACCCCAAGTGGGTGGTTGAGTCATCCCCTAGGAATACCAGTGGTCAGTGAGTGGGGAAGAAGCAGCTAGGGAGGAAGTAGGCAAAACAGGAGAAACAGGGTTGTAGAACTCCATGGGAGTGTGTCTTTAGGATATGAGTTGACATTGTTTTTGTATAGTAGGAAGGAAAAAATATTTTGAAATAATTATAGTCGTAGACAAGCATATAGTACTATGTGCCAAGCTCTATTCTAAGCACTTTATCCATTTAATCCTCACAGCAAACCTGTGGTGTAGGTCCTATTGTTATTCCCATCTTATGAAGGAAAACTGAGACATGGAGAAGTTAGGTAACTTGTCCAGATACACAGCTAAATAAGTAAACATAAACACTTAAAGGTTAGTCAAGTTGATCAACATACTGATCGAAAGTAAGGCAGTGCTTTAGGTATTACAGAACACAAAACTATGAAATTATCTCACATAGTACAGTCCCCCTCCCTTATTGCTCTCCGAGGTTTTAGTTGCCTGAGGTGAACTGTAGACCAAAAATGAGCAAGTGTAGTACAAGAAGATATTTAGAGACAGAGAGATACCATATTCACATAACTTTTATTACAACCTACTGCTAAGAGTGTTCTATTTTACTGTTATTGTTAATTTCTTACAATGCTTAATTTGTAAATTAAACTTTGTCATCTGTGTATATAGGAAAAAAAACAGGTTTCAATACTATCTGAGGTTTCAAGCATCCACTGGGGGGTCTTGGAACATCTCCTGTGGATAAGGCGGGGACTGCTATAGTAGGGAATTTAAAACATACAGATGTTAAAGATAACTATGATAATGTAGCAAGTGTTTAAATGTTGCATTTACACATTGTTTTGGTAGCCATAGTTTGCTCTTTCATAATCCTAAATTAAAATTAGTCCTGTGGCTTTAAATAAGTTAACGTTTCCCTGTTTTTTATATCTCCAATCTCAGTCTCTCCCTAAGCCTAGCATTGTTTTTTTTTTTTTTTTTTTTTTTTTTTTTTTTTTTTTNTTTTGAGACAGTCTTGCTCTGTCACTCAGTCAGGCTAGAGTGCAATGACGCGATCTCAGCTCACTGCAACCTCCACCTCCCGGGTTCAAGCGATTCTCCTGCCTTAGCCTCCTGAGTAGCTGGGATTACAGGCATGTGACGCTGTGCCTGGCTAATTTTTGTATTTTTAGTAGAGACAGGATTTCACCTGTTGGCCAGACTGGTCTCTAGTCCTGGCCTTAGTATTATATTTTCTAGCTGCCTATTCTGCATTGTTTCCATATAGTGTCTGGTAGACACTTGAAACTCAGCATGGCTGAAACTAAACTCCGGAATCTGTTCACTGCCCCAGTGCTCCTCTTCCCACAGACACCCCAGCTCAGTAAATGGCAGGCCCTTCCTTCCTGTGACTTGGGTCAAAGCTCTTTGAGTCATGCTGGATGTCCCTTTTCACTCACACATAAAGAATTTTTATATTACTACCCATGGCTTTAAGCAGGAAAAAATCCCTTGGTCATTTACAAAATACTGTCAACTTGATTTTCAGAATTTACCCAGAATCCAACCACTTTTCACTACCATAGTCTGCCACCTTTACCCAAGCTACTCGTCCTCTCTCAGCTGAATTATTGCAGTCGTTTCTAACTGGTTTTCCTGTCCTACCCCTACCCTTGCTCTGTAGTCTGTCCCACAGCAGCTAGAGTGATCCTTCTGAGACAGAAGTTCGTCCATGATTTCCGCTCCAAACTCTGCATTGGATTCCCATTCATTCAGGGTAAACCCTAAGTCCTTAGAGTGGCCCACAAGTCCCTATGTGATCTGGGATCCACCCCTTTTCCTCCAGCCTCCCTGGTGTCCTCTCTTCCCACTGCCCTGCTTGTTCACTCTGTTCTTGCCACACTGGCTTCCTCCCTGTTATTTATAACTGCTTCCACCTTTGGGGCATTTGCACATCTGTTTGGCTGGAATATCTCATCCCCTGGGTATCCTCATGTCTTGTCCTTCACTTTCTTCACATCTCAGTTCACATGCCCCTTCCTTAGAAAGGCCTTTTCTGATTGCTTTATATAAAGAACAGTATTCACCTCCTTCACTACACGATATTGTCCCATTCTATTAGAATATAAGCTTTGTGAGGGCAGGAATTTTTGTCTCTTTTGTTAACTGCCGCATCCCCAATGCCTAGAACAGTGCTTGCCATGAAGTTGGCATTCAGGCCTTCTTGATGAATGAGTGCGTAACTGAATAAAAAGTGCACTGGATTTTTTTTTTTAATCAGTCAATATAAGAGCTAGAATTTGAGTCCACAGAATTGAACACTCTCTTTCGATAATGAAATCTTGCCAGTTTTTCTCTGTGTTATATATATGGGAGCTTTACTACTTGTTTCTTTAGATCGTAGGAAGATTTTTAACTTGGGGTCCTTGGACAGGACATAAAGTGTGTCCTGCAAGATTATCTATAATTATTTTCCTTTATTAGGAAATCTGCATGCTGCCAGCTCCCCCAGTGGGGCTTTGAGAGCCCCATCACCAGCGTCATTTGTTCCAACTCCTCCCCCATCCTCGCATGGAATCTCAATAGGACCAGGGGCCAGTTTTGCTAGTCCACATGGTGAGTCCATACATGGAAATTGATATAGCATAAGAGCTTGATGTGAAAATAATTTTTATTGAGTAAATTTTCTCATTGCAAAATTAATACTTGTTTGTTGTTGAGGAAGTAGCAAAAATACTGCTCAAGCAAAAAGAAAATCAAATTTATCTAATCCCACTACACAGAGGTAATGACCAGTGAGTTTGTCTCTGCCTTGGAACTCTCCCTTGCTGTCTCCATTGCTCTGCCCTGCCCTTCCTGTCACATATGTCCTACTTGCCTGCCCTCTCACGTTTCTGTTACTCTTGCTTGCCCTCTACCCAGCTGCTTGTCTCCCCACTCAAATAACTGCCCTTGCCCCCCCTCAAATGGATACCCTAACATATGAATTGTTTTGAGACTTGGATTTTTTTAACTCAAAAATTTTATTTTGAATTGATTCAACTAGATAAAGAATAGAACAAGTAGTCAGTGAAATGTGTCCTTTTTATTCCACCAACCACCTAGTTCCTCTTCCCAGAAACATTTATATATTCTTGCAGAGCTGTTTTATGCATACATAAGCAAATACATGCAAGTGTTCTTTCGCCTCTCGTTTACACACATGACAGCATATTGTACAGTGTTCAGTGCCATTTTTCCCTTAATATATCATGAGTATCATGCCATAGAACATACACAGGTTCCTCAGCTTTTAAGCTGTGTAGCACCTGGGATTTTACTTTTTACTATTAATATTTGCGGGAACATTTCTGTCAATAACAACTCCACATCATCATACCATATGGCTTCATAATATTCCCTTGTCTGGGCATACCATGACTTAACTGCTTTCCTATTGTTATACATTTAGAACATTTCCATTTTTTTCACAATTAAAAATGGTGCCATCTGTGCTCACATCCATGATTATTTCCTTAAGTAAGTTCTAGAAGTGGAATTGTTGTCTCAAGGGGTTTGAGAAATTCTAAAGCATTCGAAACATATTGCAAACAGCATCTGAAAGGCTGTACCAATTCCCCATACAAGAATGTCTGTTATCCTGCATCATTGCCAGCAGGGGCTGTTACATATTTTTAAAAACTTGGCCATTTCAATAGGTGAAAAATGGTATCTTATTGTTTAATATGTTTCTTTGTTAGTGAGGTT